TATAAAACGAGCCCAAAAACCCGAAAATACCGAAAATTGGGGGTGCCCTTATATGGGGGCTTTCCGAAAAAATGGACCTTTATTTATAATGTTTGGTAGGGAGATTTGCTACCCAATAAGAACACAAAGTACCAAATTTCAGCGAATTCGGTCGGAAAATGCGATCAAGAACCTCAAAATACCGAAAATTTGGGGGTACCCTTATATGGGAGCTATGCCTAAACGTGGACCGATTTTCTCCAATTTCAATAGGGTTCGTCCTTGGGCCAATTAAATGACCTGTGCCAAATTTCATCCAAATCGGATCATAAATGCGACCTGTACTTTGTTAACAAAAATACATGGACGGACAGACGGACATGCATAAATCGACTCAGAAAGTGATTCTATGCATATTCTCAAAAGGAACCATGGGTCTATCTCGATTATTTTTGCCTGTTACAAACATATGCACAAAGACATAATACCCTGTACCACAGTGTGGTGAAGGGTATAAAAAGCAAAGAAAAAGAAAACCAAACCCTCCTAATGCTGACGACCCCCGCAAACGTATAAAGAACCACGATCTGCGAATCTGCACTTGGAATGTGCGCACGTTGTACAGGACAGACGCAGTTCTCGCTTTGGCGGATGTACTCAAGAAGTACAAAGCCGATATTATTGCCTTACAGGAAATGCGATGGAAAGGGCGTAAGTAAATCATACGATTACGCCCTGTAGCCTACTCCGCTCAACTTACCCAATTGCTTGACGAAAGCACCCCTTGTCCCGATAATAATATAGAAGCACAATGGCAGAGAATTGCCCACTCTCTACAAACAGCAGCCAAAGCAACACTTGGGTACCAAAGACCACCATCAAGAAATCAGTGGTACGATCAGGAGTGTCGTAATGCTACTGATATGAAAATCGCAGCGTATAGGGCAACCCTGCAGACAGCAGCAACACGTAATGCGATCGAGTACTATCGGGAGAAAAGGAGAGAAGAGAAACGTATTTTCAGAAAAAAGAAGAAAGAACAAGAAAAACGTGAGCGTGAGCAAATCGAGATGTACATTAGTCAGAATGAAGTCCGAAAATTCTACCAACGGATGAAACAAAGGCTTTGGTGCAGGCACATCCTCCTGTAGATATGAAGAAGGAAACCTGGTGGTGACAGATACAGACAGCGTGCTGAGGATCTGGAAGGAGCATTTTGAAAAGCTTCTGGTATTGAATGCTACTATTCAAGGTGAAGAGGATACCCCAGAACCAATACTAGTTGACCACCTAGCTAAGATTAGGTCAGAATAGCAATCAATCGGCTGAAGAATAATAAAGCAGCAGGTACCGCTGGGTTAAAAGCCGAACTATTCAAGTAGCATGTACCAGCTGATTAGTACAATTTGGCTAGAGGAATATGCCTGCCCAATGATTGGAACCTCAGCATCCTGTGTCCCGTGCACAAAAAAGTAGACAAGACGATACGTGCCAACTATAGAGGAATAAGGCTACTTCCCATCGCATATCACACAGTACGCATATCCAGCGTACTGTGTGAACGACTGAAGCCAATGGTCAATGATATTATTGGGCCATACCAATGCGACTTCAGACCTGGCAAATCCACCATTGACCAGATTTTCACTCTGCGCCAAATCCTGGAAAAACCCACGAAAAACACATCGACACATTCCACCTATTCGTCGACTATAACGCTGCATTCGACAGCCCTATCCGTTCAGAGGTGTACAAAGCCATATCTGCGTTAGGCATTCCTGTAAAATGAATACGGCTATGCAGGATAACTTTACCGGGCACAAAATCAGCAGTTAAAGTCGGAAAGGACCTTTCGGAGCCCTTTAATACCGAACGAGAATTCGGACCTTTTTAACATCCTGCTGGAACAGGTCATACGAGAGTCAAAAGTGAACAGAAATGACACTCTGTACAACAAACAACACCAGTTACTCGCCTACGCCGATGACATCGATATAATGGGTCGAACATTGCGAGCGCTAACAGCTCACCTTTGAACAAATTGATAAGGAGTCTGCCAAAGTGGGCCTGGCAGTAAACGGCGAGAATACCAAGCTGAGATGGTATCAACGCGCAAGACGTCCAGTAGACTCGGAACTTGAGAACTACAACTTCGAGGTAGTTAAAGATTTTATATACCTTGGTACCCCGCCATAAATGAAACGAATGACATCAGTTTTGAAATTTGGAGAAGGATAGTGATGGTCAACCGATGCTACTATGGTCTGAGCAAACAACTCAAAAGCAAGACCACCTACCGCCAGACCAAACTCACACTCTACAAGACGCTGATACTACACTTGCTGTTATATGGATCGGAAGCATGGGTACTTGCGCAATCAGACGAGGCAGCTCTTGAGTGTTTTAGAGAAAAATTCTCCGAAAGATCTATGGGCCGATCTGCGTTGACAGTGAATATCGCCGTTGAATAAACCATGAGCTGTACCAGCTATTCTCGGTCATTGACATTGTTAGGCGTATTGAGCTGCAGCGGCTGCGTTGGATAGTTCATGTTGTGAGAATGGATGAAGATGCCCCAGCCCAGAAGGCATATACATGCGAATCAGCTGATGCTGCACGCAGAAGGGGAAGACCACGAATAAGATGGAAAGATCAAGTGGAAGACAACATTGCCGAATTGGAAAAACTGCGTAAAAGACCGACGCGCCTGGTAATCTTTTTTAAACTCGGCTTATGGAACGAAAGTATGAATTTTTTAAAAATAATTTTTCACGGCGTGAATTTTTTAAAAATATTTTTTCAAGGCGTGGATTTTCAAAAAAATTTTTTCAAGGTGTGGTTTAAAAAAAAATATTTTTTTCATAACTTGGCTTAAAAAAATATTTTTTTCATAGCTTGGTTTAAAAAAATATATTTTTGCACGGCGTGGTTTTTTTAAAAATAGTTTTTCAAGGAGTGGATTTTTTTCAAAATATTTTTTTAAGGCGTGGATTTTTTAATAATTTTTTTCCAAGGCGTGGATTTTTTCAAAATATTTTTTCAAGGAGTGGATTTTTATACCCTTCACCACACTGTGGTACAGGGTATTATGTCTTTGTGCATATGTTTTTAACAGGCAAAAATAATCGAGATAGACCCATGGTTCCTTTTGAGAATATGCATAGAATCACTTTCTGAGTCGATTTATGCATGTCCGTCTGTCCGTCCGTCCATGTATTTTTGTTAACAAAGTACAGGTCGCATTTATGATCCGATTTGGATGAAATTTGGCACAGGTCACTTAATTGGCCCAAGGACGAATCCTATTGAAATTGGAGAAAATCGGTCCACGTTTAGGCATAGCTCCCATATAAGGGTACCCCAAAATTTTCGGTATTTTGAGGTTTTTGGGCTCGTTTTATAACTGAATTCGCTGAAATTTTGTACATTGGGTTCTTATTGGGTACCAAATTACTCCACTAAAAATTATAAATATAGTCCAGTTTTTCTGGTAGTACCCATATAACGGTACCCCAAAATTTTTGGTATTTTGGGGGTTCTGATCGTTTTTTTCGATCAAATTGACTGTAATTTAGTACGTCGAGTTCTTATTAGGTAGCACATCTCTCCACTATAAATTATATATATTATATTGGTCAATTTTTTCTGGTAGCCCCCAGGTTTTGAGGTTCTTGAACCAAATTCTTTTTTCTGGTACAGGGTATTATGTTTTTGTGCATATGTTTGTAACATGCAAAAATAATCGAGATAGACCCATGGCTCCTTTTGAGAATATGCATAGAATCACTTTTTGAGTCGATTTAAGCACGAAATTTGGCACAGCATAGCAAATTAGGTCTAGAATGATGTGTGTAAAGTTGCCTGAAAATCGGTTCAGATTTATATATAGCTCCCACATATACTTTCGTCAGATTTAATGTAAATGGTGCACCAAAGTCCCTATATATCTTTCGATTTGCACGAAATTTGGCACAGCGTAACAAATTAGGTCTAGAATGATGTGTGTTAAGTTTCCTGAAATCGGTTCAGATTTAGATATAGCTTCTATATCTGACCAAATGAACAATTTAGTATCGGTTGCAGAATGACGTGTTTATGGTTCCAATTTCATTTTACTGGTCCTTTAAAAATGCGACTTCTGTTAGGATTCATCTGTTGAATATACTCAAAGTGGTGAAGGGTATCATATAGTCGGCCCCGTCCGACTTTACTACTTTCCTTACTGGTTTTAAAATATATTTTTTTTCAAAGCGTGGATTTTTTAAAAATATAATTTCAGGGCGTGGTTAAAAAAAAAATATTTGATTTTTTAAAAATATTTTATCAAGGGCTGGTTTAAAAAAAAATATTTGATTTTTTAAAAATATTTTTTCAAGGCGTTGATTTTTTAAAAGTATTTTTTGGAAGCTAATTTTTTTTAATTCCTCTGAGGCAACCCTTCCCCTATTAGTTTTTTTTTTTTTTTTTTGTACATCTTCCGTTCTTCCTCCATTTGATGGATAATTGAAGAGTTCTAATGGCATGGCTATGAATCATTGACAGGTTTGTTTGTGTTTTTTTTTGTGTCTTTGGCCTCAGTTCAAAAATTCATTTGAACTCTTCTGGGCTTTCGTTTTCCGGCACTTCTTCGTCGTCTGGAGTTTCGTGACAAAGTTTTATTGCAAAATTATTGAATTTCGAAAATGTTAACGTTGGCGACGATGTTGATGTCGACGATGATGATGAGTGCAAATACTTGTGAATAAATTTGCGACATGAAAGTGAAACCAATAACAAAAAAAAAAATTAAAAGAAAATTTCTTTCGTCAAAACTTTTTAAAACAATATGAAAACTAATTTTTGAATATTAAAGAGAAATATGAGCTAAATTTTCGGGTAACACGTAGCCTGTAATCGACACACTGATATTACAAGAACTACAAATTTGAAAATAATGGTAAGTATGGGAATTGGAAATTGATTTGGAGCAGAGGATAGGTTGTATTCATAATTTTTTCAATATTGTGTACCCACTAAAATAGTCCGGCGAATGTCCTCATGTAGCCCTCTTGGATGCTGCCTTACAGCATAGCCATCATCATGATGCTGGCGGTGGAGGAGGTGGAGATACCCATGAAAAATATCAACAAATCATTGATGACTTAAAACGAGAATTGGAGCAAATGTCCTGCGAGGTGATTCAGGTTAAGCGAGAGTGTTGTAGTAAAGCTAAGGATCCAATCGCGGAGGAGGGTGCATTGGATTTAACCAAGTCTCTGAAGGAGTTGGAGTTACAAAATGATCGTCTGCAAGAGGCCCTGAAGCAGCAAAGCGAAGCTAAGGAGGCTGCCTGCAGAGAATTGGAAACACAAGTGGGTGAAAATTCAGAAAAATTCAAAATTTTTTCAATTGGTTCCAAAATTGATTTCATTTATCTTTATTTTGTTAATAATAATTTTTATGATTCCAAAAAATAAGTTTTCAAGTCATGGATTTTTTAAAAATATTTTTCAGGGCGTGGATTTTTTAAAAATATTTTTTCAAGTCATGGATTTTTTAAAAATATTTTTTCAAGGCGTGGATTTTTTAAAAATATTTTTTCAAGGCGTGGATTTTTTTAAAATATTTTTCAAGGCGTGGATTTTTTTTTAAATATTTTTTCAGAGCGTGGAAGTTTTTCAAAAAAATTATTTTTTATAAATGCGTGGATTTTTTTTAAACATTTTTTGAGAGGCGTGGATTTTTTTAAATATTTTTTCAAGGCGTGGATTTTTTTAAATATTTTTTCAAGGCGTGGATTTTTTTAAATATTTTTTCAGATGCGTGGATTTTTCAATTTTTTTTTCGGTGGCGTGGATTTTTTAAAATATTTTTTCAGAGGCGTGGATTTTTTTTAAATATTTTTTTAGAGGCGTGGATTTTTTTAAATATTTTTTCAGAGGCGTGGATTTTTCAATTTTTTTTTTTCTAAAAATATTTTTTCAAGGCGTGGATTTTTTAAAAAATATTTTTTCAAGGCGTAGATTTTTTAAAAAATATTTTTTCAAGGCGTGGATTTTTAAAAAATATTTTTTCAATGTGTGTTTTATTTTAAAATATTTTTTCAATGTGTGTTTTATTTTAAAATATTTTTTCAAAGCGATTTTTCTTTTTAAATATTTTTTCAAGGCGTGAGTTTTTTTAAAATATTTTTTCAAGGCGTGGGTTTTTTTAAAATATTTTTTCAAGGCGATTTTTTTTTAAATATTTTTTCAAGGCGATTTTTTTTAAATATTTTTTCAAGGCGTGGATTTTCTTTTAAATATTTTTTCAAGGCGTGGATTTTTTAAAGAATATTTTTTCAAGGCGTGGATTTTTTAAAGAATATTTTTTCAAGGCGTGGATTTTTTTAAAAAATATTTTTTCAAGGCGTGGATTTTTTTAAAAATATTTTTTCAAGGCGTGGATTTTTTAAAAATATTTTTTCAAGGCGTGGATTTTTTTAAAAATATTTTTTCAAGGCGTGGAATTTTTTTAAAAATATTTTTTCAAGGCCTGGATTTTTTTAAAAATATTTTTTCAAGGCCTGGATTTTTTAAAAATATTTTTTTAAAGCGTGGATTTTTTTAAAAATATTTTTTCAAGGCCTGGATTTTTTTAAAAATATTTTTTCAAGGCCTGGATTTTTTAAAAATATTTTTTCAAGGCGTGGATTTTTTAAAAATATTTTTTCAAGGCCTGGATTTTTTAAAAATATTTTTTCAAGGCCTGGATTTTTTAAAAATATTTTTTTAAAGCGTGGATTTTTTTAAAAATATTTTTTCAAGGCCTGGATTTTTTTAAAAATATTTTTTCAAGGCCTGGATTTTTTAAAAATATTTTTTTAAAGCATGGATTTTTTAATAATATTTGAGTTAATAAAAAATTATAAAAATTTTCCTTTTCAGAATAATAATCTCAAATGCCAAATAGATAGCCTGCACAAGGCCCTCGTGAATCGTGATCAACATATTAAGCACCTGAGTGCGGCGCTACATAACAGCCAACATTTTCAATCCTGTCGTGCCAATAATCCCAGCTGTAAAGCTAGCCATAGTAGTAGTCCATCCGACATGTGCTGCAATAATCAACAAAGAGTGGCGGATCTCGAAAAACGTTTGGAGATAATGTCCAAAGAATTGGATAAATCACAGCGCCAAGAATATTTTCTTCACTCAGAGACCAGGAAATTGAATGAAGAATTAAATGAAAATAAGAGAAAAAATGGTAATCGAATATCTATTCTCAAATATCCCTCGATATGATAAAGTGTGTCTACTTTTTTCGACAGGGGATCTGATTACGCAAATCCAACGCCTATCTGGACTCTTGAAATCCCAGGAAAGTCATCGCTTAGGCTTGGCAAAGAAGTATGAGGACCTGGAAGAAAATTTTGAGGATCAGGCGAAAAAACTGAGGACAGCCAATGCTCAGTTAACGGTGCTGAATGAACGATTTCAGTTAATGGAAAGGGAGCAGCATCGGCATAATTTGGAGGTAGGTATTATTTGAGAGGGTCCGGTAGTACAAAATGAAAAAATTCGCTGTTGCAAACGTAAATTTACTGTGAAAAAAATTCATTTCGGGGCCCGGGCCACTCGGTCCGCCCCCTGCGTACGTCCATGGCCAGAAGGCATATAAAAGTGAACCAGCTGATGGTTCACGCAGATGGGGAAGGCCACGAATACTATAGAAAGATCAAGTTGAAGACAACATTGCCGAATATGGTCTTTCATATTGGAAAAACTGCGCAAAAAACCGACGCGCCTGGAAATCTTTTCTAAGCTCGGCTTATGGAACGAAAGTTCTGTCATAAGCCAGCTAAGTTGAAGTATTTATAGGCGTGGATTTTTTAAATAATTTTTTTCAAGTTTTTTTAGACCTACATTGAGGCTTGGATTTTTTAAATGTTTTTCAGACCTACATCGAGGCGTGGATTTTTTAAATAACATTTTTCTGGCCTACATCTAGGCGTGGATTTTTTAAATAATATTTTTCAGGCCTACATCTAGGCGTGGATTTTTTAAATAATATTTTTCAGGCCTACATCTAGGCGTGGATTTTTTAAATAATATTTTTCAGGCCTACATCTAGGCGTGGATTTTTAAAATAATATTTTTCAGGCCTACATCTAGGCGTGGATTTTTTAAATAATATTTTTCAGGCCTACATCTAGGCGTGGATTTTTAAAATAATATTTTTCAGGCCTACATCTAGGCGTGGATTTTTAAAATAATATTTTTCAGGCCTACATCTAGGCGTGGATTTTTTAAATAATATTTTTCAGGCCTACATCTAGGCGTGGATTTTTAAAATAATATTTTTCAGGCCTACATCTAGGCGTGGATTTTTTAAATAATATTTTTCAGGCCTACATCTAGGCGTGGATTTTTAAAATAATATTTTTCAGGCCTACATCTAGGCGTGGATTTTTTAAATACTATTTTTTCAGGCCTACATCTAGGCGTGGATTTTTAAAATAATATTTTTCAGGCCTACATCTAGGCGTGGATTTTTTAAATAATATTTTTCAGGCCTACATCTAGGCGTGGATTTTTTAAATAATATTTTTCAGGCCTACATCTAGGCGTGGATTTTTAAAATAATATTTTTCAGGCCTACATCTAGTCGTGGATTTTTTAAATAATATTTTTCAGGCCTACATCTAGGCGTGGATTTTTTAAATAATATTTTTCAGGCCTACATCTAGGCGTGGATTTTTTAAATACTATTTTTTCAGGCCTACATCTAGGCGTGGATTTTTTAAATAATGTTTTTCAGGCCTACATCGAGGCGTGGATTTTTTTAAATAATATTTTTAAGGCCTACATCTAGGCGTGGATTTTTTAAATAATGTTTTTCAGGCCTACATCTAGGCGTGGATTTTGTAAATAATATTTGTAAGGCCTACATCGAGGCGTGGATTTTTTTTAATAATATTTGTAAGGCCTACATCTAGGCGTGGATTTTTTAAATAATATTTTTCAGGCCAACATTTTGCTTTGTTTTGTTGTTGTTGCTATTTCTTGATTATTACCCAGATCAATAGTTTTAGCCTTAAAGAACAACTGACCATCCACTTCGCACAAAACATGATTTTAGGCTACTGATATGGTAGCCAATAACATGATCTGACGGTGATAGGCCGGCCACAAGTGCCTGAACAAAAGGCAAAGGCATCCGGCCAAATTGGCGTTACATTGAATTGCACACTGCAAGTCAACATCAAGTTTCGGTTGCAAGTACTATGGCCCCGCAGCCTGCAGTATGTCTGTCTGTCTGGCTGGCTCGGATATTAACTTTGGCGGTAGGTATTATTGTGAAAATATTTTGGGGACCCTTCATTAAGGTGTGGATGCTTGTAAAAATATTTTGGGGACCCTTCATTAAGGTGTGGATGCTTGTAAAAATATTTTGGGGACCCTTCATTAAGGTGTGGATGCTTGTAAAAATATTTTGGGGACCCTTCATTAAGGTGTGGATGCTTGTAAAAATATTTTAGGGACCCTTCATTAAGGTGTGGATGCTTGTAAAAATATTTTGGGGACCCTTCATTAAGGTGTGGATGCTTGAAAAAATATTCTTTAAAAAATCCACGCCTTGTTTTGACCCTTGAAAAAATATTCTTTAAATAATCCACGCCTTGTTTTGACCCTTGAAAAAATATTCTTTAAAAAATCCACGCCTTGTTTTGACCCTTGAAAAAATATTCTTTAAAAAATCCACGCCTTGTTTTGACCCTTGAAAAAATATTCTTTAAAAAATCCACGCCTTGTTTTGACCATTGAAAAAATATTCTTTAAAAAATCCACGCCTTGTTTTGACCCTTGAAAAAATATTCTTTAAAAAATCCACGCCTTGTCGGGATGCTTAAAAAAATATTCTTTAAAAAATCCACGCCTTGTCGGGATGCTTCAAAAATTTTTCTTTAAAAAATCCACGCCTTGTGTGGATGCTTGAAAAAATATTTTTAAAAAATCTCCGCCTTCAAAAAATATTTTTCTTTAAATTCGATGTCTTCTCATTCCAGCGTAAATACCTCACCGACGAAGTCATGGCCCTCAAAGAAAAAGAAGCCGTTTGTGTGGGACGGCAAAAAAGTCTGCAAGAACAATTATTGAAAATCGAAAAGGAGCTCTTCTCGGCCCACGAAGTTATGCGCGATCAACAACATGTCATGAAAACCAATGATCTGGCACATGCCGAAGAGGTGCATCGCCTAAAGGAGGAGCACTATGACACCCAACGAAAATTGAAAAATTTAACCGAGGATTATAAACGACTTCAGCAGGCCTACGAGTGAGTAGTAGGCCTACGAGTGAGTAGTAGGCCTGAGTATCCTTCATTCATCATCCTTATAATAACCCTCAGCGTATCCTATTGTCCTTTTCTAACAGAAACGAACAGGAAATTTGCAAACAATCGGAAAAGTTACTTGAATCCTTTCGCAAATGGAAGGAGGACCAGTTGCGTGCGGATGCCGAGAACAAGAAGAAATTTGAACAATTAGAAGCCTATATTCAGCTGCTGTATCAGGATAAGGCGGAGATGTTGAATACCCAGAGGACCATGTGGGAGGACTATAAGACACTGGAGGCGGAATTGGAACGTTTGAGTATGACAGCATTTAGTGTGTCCAATCCACAATTGGGTGTTACGGTGACGAATACAATGGTAAGTGAATTATTTTATCAGCCTTGCTTTAGCCGTTCACTCTTCCCTTCCCTCAAGCTGGCGGAACGTTTATCGGCCATACGTCAAGCCCGAAGTCGTGTCATGGAACAGACCTTGTTAATGGAAGAGGCAATGCGTCAAAAGGAGCAAAACGGAGCCCCTGGGGCCAGTAACTCAACAACCACAGCCACTGCTACAACTACCGATAAACCAAGTTTGGATTCCTTGAAACCGGATTAAGCCAGGATATTATGAACACGAATAGACAGACATTTGAATACGTGTGTTGTTGTAAATATGTGTATTTCTATATATTACAAAATATTTATATTTTGTTAATCGATATTTTAGGGACCTACCCATACATAGCCTATAGAGACCCTTAATTTTGTAATTATCTGTAAAAAAAAATTTAAATAAGGATTTCCGAGGACCTTCACTAATTAGCCTACAATTTAGTTTTAGTAATTATATTAATAATACTTAGAGAAATACTTTGTAATATTGATATCACTCTGAATATATCGCGATGGTGTTCTTTTTCTAGATGTTTCAATATTTAAGAGTATTAGATTCAAATTTTTGGTATTTAATGCCTGGGTAAGTAGATTGTATATTTTAAAGAATATTTTTTTTTCAAGGCCTATATAAGGCGTGGATTTTTTAAAGAACATTTTTTCAAGGCCTATATAAGGCGTGGATTTTTTAAAGAACATTTTTTCAAGGCCTATATAAGGCGTGGATTTTTTAAAGAACATTTTTTCAAGGCCTATATAAGGCGTGGATTTTTTAAAGAATATTTTTCCAAGGCCTATATAAGGCGTGGATTTTTTAAAGAACATTTTTTCAAGGCCTATATAAGGCGTGGATTTTTTAAAGAACATTTTTTCAAGGCCTATATAAGGCGTGGATTTTTTAAAGAACATTTTTTCAAGGCCTATATAAGGCGTGGATATTTTAAAGAATATTTTCTCAAGGCCTATATAAGGCGTGGATTTTTTAAAGAACATTTTTTCAAGGCCTATATAAGGCGTGGATTTTTTAAAGAACATTTTTTCAAGGCCTATATAAGGCGTGGATTTTTTAAAGAACATTTTTTCAAGGCCTATATAAGGCGTGGATTTTTTAAAGAACATTTTTTCAAGTCCTATATAAGGCGTGGATTTTTTAAAGAATATTTTTCCAAGGCCTATATAAGGCGTGGATTTTTTAAAGAACATTTTTTCAAGGCCTATATAAGGCGTGGATTTTTTAAAGAACATTTTTTCAAGGCCTACAACAGGCGTGGATTTTTTAAAGAATATTTTTTCAAGGCCTACAACAGGAGTGGATTTTTTAAAGAATATTTTTTCAGGGCCTATTTTTTCTAGACCCACAACAGGTCGTGGATTTTTTAAAGAATATTTTTTCAGGGCCTATTTTTTCAAGACCCACAACAGGTCGTGGATTTTTTAAAGAATATTTTTTCAGGGCCTATTTTTTCAAGACCCACAACAGGTCGTGGATTTTTTAAAGAATATTTTTTCAGGGCCTACAACAGGCGTGGATTTTTTTAAAGAATATTTGTTCAGGCATCCATACAAGGCGTGGATTTTTTAAAGAATATTTTTTCATGGCCTATATAAGGCGTGGATTTTTTAAAGAACATTTTTTCTAGGCCTATATAAGGCGTGGATTTTTTAAAGAATATTTTTTCAAGCATCCATACAAGGCGTGGATTTTTTAAAGAATATTTTTTCAAGCATCCTTACAAGGCGTGGATTTTTTAAAGAATATTTTTTCAAGCATCCATACAAGGCGTGGATTTTTTAAAGAATATTTTTTCAAGCATCCATACAAGGCGTGGATTTTTTAAAGAATATTTTTTCAAGCATCCATACAAGGCGTGGATTTTTTAAAGAATATTTTTTCAAGCATCCATACAAGGCGTGGATTTTTTAAAGAATATTTTTTCAAGCATCCATACAAGGCGTGGATTTTTTAAAGAATATTTTTTCAAGCATCCATACAAGGCGTGGATTTTTTAAAGAATATTTTTTCAAGCATCCATACAAGGCGTGGATTTTTTAAAGAATATTTTTTCAAGCATCCATACAAGGCGTGGATTTTTTAAAGAATATTTTTTCAAGCATCCATACAACGCGTGGATTTTTTAAAGAATATTTTTTCAAGCATCCATACAAGGCGTGGATTTTTTAAAGAATATTTTTTCAAGCATCCATACAAGGCGTGGATTTTTTAAAGAATATTTTTTCAAGCATCCATACAAGGCGTGGATTTTTTAAAGAATATTTTTTCAAGCATCCATACAAGGCGTGGATTTTTTAAAGAATATTTTTTCAAGCATCCATACAAGGCGTGGATTTTTTAAAGAATATTTTTTCAAGCATCCATACAAGGCGTGGATTTTTTAAAGAATATTTTTTCAAGCATCCATACAAGGCGTGGATTTTTTAAAGAATATTTTTTCAAGCATCCATACAAGGCGTGGATTTTTTAAAGAATATTTTTTCAAGCATCCATACAAGGCGTGGATTTTTTAAAGAATATTTTTTCAAGCATCCATACAAGGCGTGGATTTTTTAAAGAATATTTTTTCAAGCATCCATACAAGGCGTGGATTTTTTAAAGAATATTTTTTCAAGCATCCATACAAGGCGTGGATTTTTTAAAGAATATTTTTTCAAGCATCCATACAAGGCGTGGATTTTTTAAAGAATATTTTTTCAAGCATCCATACAAGGCGTGGATTTTTTAAAGAATATTTTTTCAAGCATCCATACAAGGCGTGGATTTTTTAAAGAATATTTTTTCAAGCATCCATACAAGGCGTGGATTTTTTAAAGAATATTTTTTCAAGCATCCATACAAGGCGTGGATTTTTTAAAGAATATTTTTTCAAGCATCCATACAAGGCGTGGATTTTTTAAAGAATATTTTTTCAAGCATCCATACAAGGCGTGGATTTTTTAAAGAATATTTTTTCAAGCATCCATACAAGGCGTGGATTTTTTAAAGAATATTTTTTCAAGCATCCATACAAGGCGTGGATTTTTTAAAGAATATTTTTTCAAGCATCCATACAAGGCGTGGATTTTTTAAAGAATATTTTTTCAAGCATCCATACAAGGCGTGGATTTTTTAAAGAATATTTTTTCAAGCATCCATACAAGGCGTGGATTTTTTAAAGAATATTTTTTCAAGCATCCATACAAGGCGTGGATTTTTTAAAGAATATTTTTTCAAGCATCCATACAAGGCGTGGATTTTTTAAAGAATATTTTTTCAAGCATCCATACAAGGCGTGGATTTTTTAAAGAATATTTTTTCAAGCATCCATACAAGGCGTGGATTTTTTAAAGAATATTTTTTCAAGCATCCATACAAGGCGTGGATTTTTTAAAGAATATTTTTTCAAGCATCCATACAAGGCGTGGATTTTTTAAAGAATATTTTTTCAAGCATCCATACAAGGCGTGGATTTTTTAAAGAATATTTTTTCAAGCATCCATACAAGGCGTGGATTTTTTAAAGAATATTTTTTCAAGCATCCATACAAGGCGTGGATTTTTTAAAGAATATTTTTTCAAGCATCCATACAAGGCGTGGATTTTTTAAAGAATATTTTTTCAAGCATCCATACAAGGCGTGGATTTTTTAAAGAATATTTTTTCAAGCATCCATACAAGGCGTGGATTTTTTAAAGAATATTTTTTCAAGCATCCATACAAGGCGTGGATTTTTTAAAGAATATTTTTTCAAGCATCCATACAAGGCGTGGATTTTTTAAAGAATATTTTTTCAAGCATCCATACAAGGCGTGGATTTTTTAAAGAATATTTTTTCAAGCATCCATACAAGGCGTGGATTTTTTAAAGAATATTTTTTCAAGCATCCATACAAGGCGTGGATTTTTTAAAGAATATTTTTCGAGGACTATATAAGGCGTGGATTCTTTAAAGAATATTTTGCGAGGCCTATATGTGTCGTGGATTTTTTTAAAGAATATTTTGCGAGGCCTATATAAGGCGTTCATTTTTAAAGAATATTTTTTTCAAGGCCTATATAATGCGTGGATTTTTTAAAGAATATTTTTTCAGCGACCTACATAAGGCATGGATTTTTTAAAGAATATTTTTTCAAGGTCTATATAAGCCGTGGATTTTTTAAAGAATATAAGGCGTGGATTTTTTAAAGAACATTTTTTCAAGGCCTACAACAGGCGTGGATTTTTTAAAGAACATTTTTTCAAGGCCTACAACAGGCGTGGATTTTTTAAAGAATATTTTTTCAAGGCCTATATAAGCCGTGGATTTTTTAAAGAATATTTTTCGAGGCCTATAAAAGGCGTGGATTTTTTAAAGAACATTTTTTCAAGGCCTATATAAGGCGTGGATTTGTTTAAGAATATTTTTTCAAGCATCCATACAAGGCGTGGATTTTTTAAAGAATATTTTTTCAAGCATCCATACAAGGCGTGGATTTTTTAAAGAATATTTTTTCAAGCATCGATACAAGGCGTGGATTTTTTAAAGAATATTTTTTCAAGGCCTATATAAGGCGTGGATTTTTTAAAGAATATTTTTTCAAGGCCTATATAAGGCGTGGATTTTTTAAAGAATATTTTTTCAAGGCCTATATAAGGCGTGGATTTTTTAAAGAATATTTTTTCAAGGCCTATATAAGGCGTGGATTTTTTGAAGAATATTTTTTCAAGGCCTATATAAGGCGTGGATTTTTTAAAGAATATTTTTTCAAGGCCTATATATATATTTTTCCAAACTGACCAATTTTTTGTCAAGGTTTTTTACCAATCCATTTGTGTTTTTGTTATCATTGGCATTTTCTTTTTATTATTAAGACAACAACAGAGCTATAAATAAATTAATGTTTTAATTTACCGAAAAGATCATTTATTACCCAATACACTCATCTAGACAGGCACAATCAATCCCATAACGCAACACACATGGGATTATCAAACAATTGCGGATGATGATGACGACGACGGCGATCATCATCCGCAGCACTTCATCCAACTTCAGACTTGTGGTCGTCTGGAGCTGCCACTGTTGCCGCCGACACTTCGTTTCACTCAATTATGAGAATTAATTATCGAAGTTTTCTTTTGTTGTTGTTTTAAAAAAAAGTTTTTCAATTCCATTCACCCCACGCAAAATTAAACCGCTTAGTTGGTTGTTATTCGCCAGGGCTTAGGAATACGTGATATTGTTGTCATT